TCTCTCTCTCTCTCTCTCTCTCTCTCTCGTGAGAAGGAGAAAAAAAGTTTGGGAAAGCTCGACTTCGGATCTTCCTAATTGACAGATCGAACGGAATTATTAATCGCGGCCGCGACTTCGGGGCGCAGTTCCTCACTGTCGCGGAGTTTCTCGTTTCGCTGAGCTCGAAAAATGAAACGAAACGCCGACCGTTAGAATTAAAAGTGATATTTCACTGTCGAGAGTTGGCGGAGGAAAAAAAAAAATGATAAAAAAAATAAAAAACAGGGAGGGGGGAGGGGGAGGCGGATAATAGAAATAAAAAAGGGAATAAGGAAAAAAAAAAAAAGAACGTTTGGGATGGAAACAAAAGGGAAATGGAAGGGAAATATAAAATATGACAGCGGGCGCGGGGGAAGATAGCGTAGTTGGTCCCCAATGGACCACTCTTGAAACACGATGAAATTATTTCGCTAGAATACCTTCCTCCTTCCTTCTTCCACTCTCTTTTTAGAGACGTGTACATCGATAAATAACGTCTTAACAATGGCCAGTTTTTATACGGCAAATTGGTGTAACGATAAATTTAATCTCTCGAATTTGCAAAATTCGATATATTCCTTACTTTTTTTATTCCTCCTACTCTCCTTCGTTTTTCATTCCTCCCTTTCAAATTATAAAAAGTTGAAAATTTTTATAGTTTATCATATTATGCTGAATCGATAGATTTCTTTTTTTTTTTCTCGTTTCGATTGTTTCAGTTTGTTTCAGAGATACAAATAACGCGAACAAATGATTCGTCGATTTTTCCCCCCTACAACAATCTCCGTATTTTTCGATTTCGATCCTGTGAATTTCCCTGAATCGGGGGGGGGGGAGGGGGGAAAGAAAAGAAGAAGAAGAGTGGAAAATAGGGGAAAAAAATATGAGGAACATTTTTAATCCCACAAAGTGGCCCAAAGTGCGGAGGGGCGCGCAAACAGCACGAAGTTCCGCTTTTGTGATCGGGAAACCGGAAGCGGCCGAAACTGATTTCCTCTCCCTCGCCAATCGAATTCAATGTCTCTGCTTTGTTTCGATCTTATTCCCTTCCCTCGAACCTTCGACCAATCTCGAATCTCGATCGTTGAACGTTCGTTTTTTTATAATTATTCACTGGACCTGTTTAAAGTGTAAAGTGATTTTAATTGAAAAGAACATTACATTAACGTATTTCTAGTTGGACAGATGATAGAAGACGATTCGTCAATTTTAAATTGGAAAAGAATGTGACAATAATAACCGAGATGATTGTTAGTTTCTTAAATTTTATCTTTTCCAAAAAAGATTCGTTTCAGCAAAATGTACAGAGTCGATACATTAAATTGAGAACAATTTAAAGTCCATGAAATTATAAACAATTTAAAAGAAAGAAGTTAAAAAAAGCATCCACGAATATATCAACACCCTGTACACATAGCATCCCTATTGACATTAAAAATTCGAAAGAAAAATTTTCCACAAAATTTCTATAATAAACTTCCACAAATATAACACGATCGATCAACGAAATCGTTTCCCTCTACGGTTGTACGTGACTCATCGTACGCCCGGAACGGTAGTAAAAGTTGGAGGAAAAGTGGAAGGGCAAACAAAAGGTAAACACGGAGTGGAGTAATTTCAGCGTGGTCTAGACGACGGCGAGGCGGAAGCATGAATGGCGTCACGATTCCCTCTCTCTCTCTCTCTCTCTCTCACTCTTCACTGTTATGGAATCGCGTAATCGGCTTAAACAGAGAGAGAGAGAGAGAGGAAACTGTGTTGCCTGCGAGGAGGACCTTTACGACGGATTCGGCATATGATCCTTTCCGCCGATCGTAAAGGAGCCTCTCGATCGATTGTACGCTCCTTTTGTGCCCACCGCGTTTCCGTCTCGACGATGTTTGCCCCCGCGTTTCCTCCATTCTTCGACGAGGGGAGGGCGGGGCGATTTTAAGGGCTGTGCTGTCTCGGTTGATCCCTCCGTCGGAAATGAACGAGTGGACGGGGGGTTAGAGTGCAACACGCTTGGAATTTCCAGATATTATCGAGCCTAACCATATCGCTTCCTCCTAACCTTAATTCGAAATGAAAAGGTTGAAATTTGGTAAATATTGCGTAAAATTTGATATTGATCGAGAAGAAAATTTTTGAAGTTTAACAGTAAGTTTAGCGTAAGAATATATTATTTTGTCCGGAATAATGAATGTAATAGCAGCACTCTGGCCAAGGAAGATAATGGTCGATTAATTTTACGACTGGCGTTTTCAGCGTCGGACCCGATCACCAGGCAGTGTCCGAACCTGGGTCGATACGAGATCGTGTCCGTGCTACATTCTTACAACAGCGTGGAAGACATATTGGGAGTGGACGGTGAGCAGAACATGGCGAATGCAGCCGAGGTTCAGGACGTTAGGGTGACGTCGACACCCTATCCGGGTCGGTGCCGTTATGGAAGTGTTCGCCGATTGGATATCGGTTGCAAAACACCGGATCGCATGGAATTCGCTACGTGCAGCGATGAAACCCCATCAGGTAAAATTCTTGGTGAATTTTTTTCAAAATGTTAATCGTCGATTTTAATTCGTCCGGATTTATCGAATTTACTCTTCCGAACTGGCAAATTCCGACGGGAAATTATAAATCTGATTCGAGGGAAGCTCGGTTATAAAACATTCACGATGAAAATAAATTTGGATACGTCTGTTTTTACAATTCAAAAAGATCCAGAATTATTCTTAATTAGTTTATTCTCTTTTAACTTTTTGGTTTTTGATGGGTTATAATATTGTTGTTGTAAATTATTCTTATCTTAAATTTAGTTCCAAACAAATTATATCGAATCTTCGTTCCTTGTTTCCTCGCTTAAATGATCGATCTCGTTTAGAAATTCATTTCTTCCTTTAATTTTTTAATTTTGTCCCTATACAAAACAATTGCATTCACAAATCTTTTTGCTTCGGAGATAAGGAAACTAATATTCGTTAGGTATGTTTTTAATTTTTGTTATGTTACGAACTTTTCAAATTGTCATCCCATTATTACGTTGTCCCATCGAAAGAGTTAATAAAATCCCGGGTGATTAATGCTTGTTTCTTTTTTCGACGATATTTTTCCCTCCTCAGCTGACATTTCTGTTATATTATTACCCCCCCTCCAAAATAGGAGGGGGAACGAAGGCATAAAAATTCCTGACATCCAACGAGATGACGAGGGCCGGGAAAGTGTCTGAGAACATTGATAGCTTTGGAACATGGCTTTTGACGTTTCTCAGACGCGAATCCTCGTGTTGGGGTTATATTCGAGGGGCGGCTGGCTACCCTCTTCAATTTCGTAAAACGTCGTTGAATAACCTCAGTTTCTAACCTTCAGAAGCAATTTGGGAGGAGTAGTTTAAAGTGACTCGACGAAACTCCGATAAAAGTGATTCTATATAAATGAACACAATTACGCGTATAATTTAATAATACGTGTCGCGATTCAAATATGTTTCGAGTTATTTAAAGCTATCAAGCTGTCTCTCATCTATCCGTTTTGTCATCGAATATTGAACGCGACCGAACATTAGATCCCGGCTCACAGGTTGAGAAACACTGGCGCCAGGTATCCTTCTCTCGTTATAAAAGTCTGGAAAGTGCCTCAGGGTGTCATCAAGCGACCCTTTTCCACAAAAACCATTCCACCCGATTGTCATCCGTCTTACCTGTATCTCACCCCTTTGGAATCGTCAGAGCGTCAACGCGTCAGAGTCGCGAGTAGCAACAACATCTTATAGGATTAACCAAGGCCGACTTATTCCCTATTGAGAGAGACGCGTCTCCCATCACGAAACCCGTTTCCTTCTCCTTCCTTCCTTCCTTTTCTAAGTCTAGCTAAGTTCGGGAAGAGCGGCGCGACGGTTGCCCTGACTCTTCCTTATACGCAAACTTTGCAGCTTTATTCGGCTGTACGTGTTTGTGACGCGTGCCTGCGGATCCGCTCGCGATCAAAGGTAGGTGTAATTGGCTTTGGTTGGCCGGCTGGATTTTTATGATGTACGAATAGTTGCCAGGTGAAATTGTCGTTCCTCGAAGGATTTTATTGGGTGGGTCGAGGATAGGAGCCGTTGTGAAATCTTGAGAGGTTGAGACTGAAGAAAGCGGTTCGTGTGAGTTATTTGGATGATTGTGTTGGAATAACGTTTGTCGAATAAGAGCAGGTAGAATAGACGAGCAATGTCAAGTATGGTCGATGTATGAATCATCCAAATAAGGATCTAAGATTAAACTATTAATTAATAGAACAGCGTTACTTGAGATTCAACTATCGCATCATTTCGAAATTTATTCCGTTGTTTTCAGCAAGATTCCAATCCCAACTGAAATGAGTACTGCTGTAAAAGTAGATGTGATTAACGATCGCCGTTAGAAACTGGTTGAAAACGTTTTGAGATGTTCTTCTTCTCTGGAAAGTTAAGATCCCTGGGTTTGTGGGAACTCTTAATGACCAATTCGCGTTCCCTGGTGGGTTAAAAGAGGAACTGCGATCCCCCTTGTTGACAATGTTAAGACACGAGACCCGATAAATCTTCTCGGTTATGTCAATGTCTCTCCTTTCCCATAAAACAATTCTAGATATCCTCGCGTTTCCACGATTTTTTTATCTCCTGTTCGAGTGTATTTATTGAAAGAGGATTTTTTGAAGAGGAAGCCAAGTTGAGTACAATTATATTCTCTGGAGAAGAGGAGTGTTACTAATTTGTTAAAAATATAAAACCTACTATTATTACAATGGAACAATTTTTAAAAACAAATCAATCATCAATATCATCGTCATGTTAATATAATTTATAATCATCACGCTCATTTCGGCGTATAATGACGTTAAAATTAATTTACCTTGAGTCTAATAATATTCACTTGAATCTAAATAAAAAAAGGGACCCAAAAGTTTTAAAGTACGATTTTAAAATATTACATTTTTATACCCACTGTATAACGAGTATACGTCGTCAGAGTGGATTTTAATTAATACCGTCGAAAGTTAGCAAGTTCCCTCTTTGAAACGCTTTTTGAATTGTGTCGATACGAGGCTCCGTTCCCAAGATATCGTCCTATAAAGAGGAGCATAATTTCGTAATATTTCACCATCTCCATCCTCATCGCGCGCCACTCACTGACCTATTCCATCCCGCTCCCCCTTCCCCTCCCCCCTCCCTCTTTCCTCCCACTCGTGACTCAGCGAGAGACGTTGAGTCAGCAATACTTTTTTTTACCATTTCTAGTAAGTACTCAACATACGCACTTCTAGGAATAAAGTGAATCATAGGGATCACTAGATGTCGCCATCTTCTTTACTTTAACCGGTCAAACTTTGGACCCGCGTATCTCAGGAACGGATTGAGCTATCGACTCGGATAGTCGTATAAAGTGCATTTCCAAGAGCATTCACCACTCCACCTTCGAGATATATTCCCGAAAGAAAATATCGTAAGTAACTCTTTTAGGAGTTATGTTACGATAAAAATCATCTTTGATGGATTATCGTATTCATTTAAGTTATTATTATTAATTGTTCAAACATTTTTACACGTATTTTTCGAATATGCTGGAATAAATATTAAACTTCATTTAAACTTTATCTTTATTGTTCTTTTACACACGCTTTGTTCAAATTTTCTCAGGAAGGAGATTGTCGTATCGTCGAGATCGTAATTTAAAAAAAAAAAAAAAGGAAAAAAGACAAGCAAAAGGAACAATTTCAGAAACGCGCTCTAAATGTAAAGAAGCAATCGAACGGAAGAATCTATCAGTATTTGTGGATCAGAGGCGACAATGCCGAGTGACGTCCTCCTATTTTTGCCCCTTTTGAAAGCATATTTGGTGAAAAGGTGCAGCTTCTTCTCTCTGTCTGCTGAATTTTCCCCGTTGTTTATTTCCGTTTTCTGCGAGCTGTCGCGCGGACGCTGTAAATTCTCATCTTTCTATCTTTCCAGCCTCGATAAGGTATCCGAGCCGAGACAACACGCCAGATATCGACATGTCGAAGCGATTTACGGCTTTCGTTTATTTCGTACCCGTTTGTGCCTTTTGCTCCTCCAACTCGTAACACACAGTCGACCTTTTTCCACTCTAAAAGCCGCGTGTCCTTTGTCGGGAGGGGGATCTCTATGCTGGAGGACCATTTTTCAAGGATTACTTGAAACGATTTACACGACGATGTCAACGTCGCAGTTAATTTGGCAAGGGGAATGAAACAATTCCAGATACTTTTGTCCCCTCTTACAAACGTGCGCCAATATATTGGAAGAATCTTTTTTATCTTTCATCTAATCCTTGCAATGATATCTCACATCATGTTTGTATCGTGTATTCGGATACTTTCGAATCACTTTTAAGAAGATCATCGTCAAACTTAAATTGTCTTATTTTTTTTTTTTTTTTATCTAAATTCTGATCGTTTCACGGTTAAAAAAAAACCCGTCTCGAGGCGTACAATTTATTTATTTTTCTTTTTTCTTTTTTTTTTTTTTGCGACCACCATCTCGCCGATATAAAGGTTCGAGCATCGTAAAAATTTAATAATCGAAGGAATTCTAATTGCGCATAGTTGATCATAATTGAACGGTCTTAACCGGCTTTAGTCGACGGTGGATAATTTAATTCTCTTTTCACGAACGTTAAACCGGTTCTCCTTCCTTTAAAACGGTGCCTCGTTTCAATTGCTCCCATTTTTACGTTTTCTCCCCTTTCTCTCTCTCTCTCT